GAGAGAGAGAGAGAGAGATATACAGACGTATGTGCATCGGGTTTGATATAAAGTGGCGGCCCGAATCATTCAGCGGGTGTCCTTAATGCGTTCCTCCTTTTTCAAGACGGGACCAATAATTGGGTGTCCTAATTAATGCGCGTTTTTGGCCTGGCAATTTTTGGTTGTGCTGCTTCCCTTCTAGTAATGGCCAATCTTGAAGCAGCCACGACCTAAAACTCCCTTCCAAACCCTAAAACCCTGGCCCTGCAGCCCGAAACTCTCCCTAAACGAAACCTCCTTTAAGCCTAAACCCTAAATCGCCCTTGAGCCTCATCTCAACCTCCCTGTAATAAGCCTGAACCTTAGATGCCCCCGAACCCTAAAGCCTTGAACCCTAAAGCCTAAAACCCCCTCCAAACCCTGAAACCCTGGCCCGAAACTCTCCCTAAACCCGAAACCGCCCTCAATTAAGCCTAAACCCTAAATCCCTCTTGAGCCTAATCTCAACCCCCCGTTAACCCTAAACCCTAAACCTTATTTTCTAGGTAGGATTTACCTGCGGTTTGGGTCTTTGGAAAGCTTAAGGTTTCTGCTCTCAGCCCAAGGACCCAAACCTCAGGTCAACCCCAGCTAGAACCCGAGGCTGGGCCCTCCTAAGCCCCTGAGAAAGCTTCGGAAAGCTTAAATTTTTGTTCTCAGCCCCGAGGCTTTCTAAGGGTTCAGGCTCGGGTTCTAGGTGGGATTTACCTAAGGCCTGAGCTTTTGGGCTGAGAACAGAAACTTTAAGCTTTCCAAGGCTTTCTCCGGGGCAGAACGCTTTTCGCTGGGTGTCAAAACTTATGTACTCAAATATGGCAATCGCAACGACATGTTGATGAAAACACGAAATTGGACTAATGTTGCATCTGTGTTCCTAAGTCTTTTTCCTCTTCAACCAAACGATGGGTGCTTTCTGGCTGGCGTATGGGTGCAAAAGATGGGTAAAACGGGACGATTGGGTGCTATGGTGATTAGAACAGCTGTTGTATACCAATGGTACAGCTTCGGAGGGTTATATGGAGGACGTTGCTACTTTGGGTATGCTTGGATCATGGATAACATCTGGCAAGCTCGGGCTCTTGGTGGGGTTTACCTTTTTTGCTATGGCCGTGCGCACGAATGCTGCACGCGCCTTGGCGCCTTGCCTGAAGCTCCCCGTAACAGGCTTAAAAGTGTGATATACTTAACGTTAGCTCCAAATATGGTGTAATGGTCCTGCCAAATTTGAGCGTAATGTCTTGAATTCACAACTTCTAGCCAATACGGGCATTTGCCTCCCTCTGCGCTTGCCCTGTGTAAGTATTCGATCCTTGTAAGCTGAATAGAATACTATACTGTGAACTGGATCTGTTGGCTTGGCTAAGAACACAAACCCCAGGAACTCTTTTTGTTTCAGGTTTAGGAGTTTGGAAGGCGGTGTGGGCTCCCCTGCCTGTTTCCAAACTTCAATGTTCGGTATTCCAGAGTCAATGGACGCCTTGATTCCCACGCATCGGCGGGGCAATCTATAAAAAACTGCATCGATCTTATGAAGTACTTTGTCTGCAAGTGTGAGTGTGTCTGCAGGCAGAATACACAAGAACCGGTCTATTCTGGCTTCAAACAGCTTCACCTTTTTGACACGGCTGAGGTTACTGTTTCATACTAATTTGAGTCTCTTGCACGCTGCTTCCGCAAGGGCTGCTCTATGAGCAATGGCCGTTTCGGCTGATTTATTCCATGAAACCATAGTACCTAAATAGTCTGCAGATTCGGTAATGGGAACCGGGTCTCCGTTCTTGAAGTGAATGTTTGCGGTGTTCCGGCTTAACAAGAAGCTCTGTTTTGGTAGTGTTGAGCGCCATGCCGTATAGTTCTGCTTCACTCTCAAGCTCGAGCAAAAAGTTTTGTAGCTGCGGTGTGGTCAAAAAATAAGAAGCGTGTCATCTGCCTATTCTAGGTCGTAGATAGGGTCACCTTCTGACCAAGTGTTCGTGGGGATTCCTTTGTCCAACAATCTTTGATCTAGGTCTTCGAAAATCACGCTAAGAACTATACAAGATAAGGACTGAGTGGGCCGAACATCTCCACCCGCATCTGTCTCTGCTGCGGGGATACCTCCAGGCTTTCCCTAATAGGTGGCAACATTAAAATCATTAAACTTCCTACGCACTCATCAGCTCGTCCCGTCTTGGTAGGGTATTCGTCCCAGTAGGGCCGCAGCTGCCACCACTGGCATTGTGATCTCGAGGGGGTATGGTCTATAGTAGTTGTTGTGGATCATTGCCCAGGCCAGTGTCTGCGACCTTTCACCTTCGAAATGCTCTTGCCAATTGTTTCAGCTGCAAGCTTGGCTTTGCTGAAAGCCTCCCGTTCGGCTTGGTCCAACTCATATGGAGCGCCCCAGATAGCCTTGTTCCAGCAATGCTCCCACAAAGAATTCTCTGTGGCCTCGACGTGCTGGGGCTTCGACTGAAGCACTTCCATCAAGGGCGGTGTGATCTCAAGGCGCCCCTTGAATTCTCCATGCTCGAAGTAGTGCAGGTGAGCCCATGCCAGAGCATCAGGCCCGTAGGATCGGTTCACGTTCACGGTTGGGGCCATGGTTGTCAAGGTTTTCCAGAGAATTGTCAACGTCTTTCCATGGAACTCCTCGTGCTCGTTGAGGCATGCCAAAATGACCCGCAGTGGGGCCTCCAATTTTCTTTGTTATTGAGGACTGCTTGGGTTGACCCGAACATGCTTGTTCGGGATGGCGGTGTGGTCATAAGTTTGGATTGGAGTGCCGCCCGATCCTCCAAACTTTTCCGGAAGTGCACTTCGCATGTCGGAATTCTTGAAGTGCCACATGCTCATGGCGCTCCAGAAACCATCGCCCTGGGGACCGTCACAGGCTCAACTGCGAAAATGTTGAACCACCTGTGGGTCTCGTGGGCGTTGTGGTCTGAAAGGTGCCCTCTCGATTCCAGAAAGTCTTGATCTTCGGCACTTGTTGTAGCATCCACGCTAGCAGCTAGCATGAACTCCCTCTGTGTCGGGCTCAAACCATTGGGCCAGCCAGAAGTAACGAGGTGTGTTCCAGCAGCATACTTCTGAAGCTGCCTGTTCTCACCCGCCATCCATGCCAGCTCTTCTTTCGTCTTGAACACGTCGTCAGTATCTTGGGCAAAGCAGATTCCAGTTGCAAAACCACGTGGTAGAGTTCTGGTCTGATAACAGCTTTGTGGTAATTGCGCACGATCTGGAAGACCTCGCGCGTTGTGTTCGCTGGCTTGTTGAGCCACTCCTCCATCGCCTGGGGGTTTTGGACTTGCACCCCAAAAGTTCCAGCCGTAACTTGGACTGCAGACGCGTCCTCCAATAACCGGGGTTGCACCAGCGTGGGCGCGGTGTGGTCAAAAGCCGAGGCCTCCTCTTGCGGTGTGACCAAACTGGAGGCCACCGGCGTGCGCTCCGCGCTTGGCCCGAGCTCTCTCCGACCAGAACATAGACAGCATTGTTTCCGAAACTGGGTTCGCAACTATGTTTCGTTGCTCCTGAAAAGAACGAACGGCGGGATCCTGCATGATGTCGCGCTCGGCCATCTTATCCCTTTAGGATAGGGCGGTGTGGTCGGGAAGCCGACCCTACAAGAAACTCCTGCAACGTGCAATCTGGCACCTGACAGCCGAAACGCCTGTGGGATTTGCCTAAGGTTTGTGCTTTTGGGCTGAGAACAGAAACCTTAAGCTTTCCGAAGCCTTCCAAGTGCTTTAGGAGGACCTCGAAATTTCGAGCCAGCTGGTGTTGTACGGCACAGAGTCGTCATGTGTGCCTGCTCCACTGCTAGGCCAGCGCGTACCCTGACTCTGCATCCTGCAGGACCGGCGGATCTTTCCTGAACGACTCGTTGGTCGCAGTCTCCTCTGGGATCGACAGAGGGACCTCGAACCGGCAGGGCTACAGCATCACCCGATAACGGTTGCTTCATCCAGGATCCAACGACGAGGCTGAACCCTAAATTCCAACCTACCTCGCTGATAACTTGCGAACATCGGTGTGTTGCTTGTGACAGAAAGCTATTGCCCGGAGGCGCTGGCATTTTCAGAGGCAGCTTGCCTCATGATTCATAAGCCTAGCTGAGCCTTTACACGTCGGGTTTTGGAAGTCTCGTGGAGCTTCGCTCCGTTCATCTACTCCACTTCATTCCGAATCGCTCACGATGCCAATCTCATGATAAACGGCGAGGGCAAACAGGAATAGCTTCGACAGCGATGAGCTGCAAGCACCACCCCGTATTCTCGCAAATCTACGTGGCAGCACACCTGCGAGCGGAAACGGAGGTAAGGACTGACGCCTGGAGCAGTTCCCGACCGCCAGAGCACGTCCCTGCATGCTTCGCGCTGCACGGAGCAAGGGAAGGTTTCAAAGGGAGCTCGAGACGGAATGGTTCGGATCCTTCTGTCAAACATCAGAAACTACAGGCTGAACGAGTCTCAAGAAGCCAATGGCGCATGCAAACCCAGGAACAATGAGCCAAGCTACATGTAACACACTGATTCACAACACAGGACCAGCAGCAGCAGCAGCAGCAGCAAGAGAGAGAGAGAGAGAGAGAGAGAGAGAGAGAGAGAACTCGCGAGCCTGGTGCTCACCTCCACCCAGCGACCAGCCACCGAACGTGTGCTGCCCCTGCTTAAGCCACGTGGACACGAACATCTCGGGCCTGCACGACGCATCGAAAGCATCAAATCACGAAACGAAGGTACACTAAAATCGCCTCGCTCTGCCATGATAGCCGTAAGAAGGCTTCTTCACGGAGTCGATCACTTCTTTGCCTCAGACGTATCCGGTAAATTCTGGACAGAAACCCAAACAGTGATTCAAGGACAAGCTGCCGATCATCTCTTGGATCTCCTCCGGCACAAACCTGGAAAACTTGGAACCGGCACAACTACATATTGTGGGATAATACAGAAGGCTAGGATCCCAGCTTATGAATCGTCTTCTTGTTTGCTTTGCGGTTGTATGCAAAGCAGTAGAGAAGGGAGTCAGCCTGCAGGAGATAAGCATCAATCCTCCGCGTGTCCATGGGTCAGGCAAGCTAGTTCTTGCATAAGCATCGACACCCTGCTCCGGTACTAAGCCCCTGGCCAGATGGTCATACAACGCGCAAAAGTCGTACCTGCAGTTGCATTTACTCGATTGTGGGTATCAACTCGTTCTACACTACGGCTTCAACGGGAATGCGGCACGCTATGGAGCCACATAGGAAGAAAGCCACAGCGGACACCATCTCGGCAACAGACTGCAGATTGAAACGCACATGCACACAAGCCGATGATGCAGAACGAAGGACATGCAAGGATCGGACAACCGGATCCTGGATGAAAGAAGACTTCGCCGGGTCATTGATCCCTGCGTGTCTTGATTTCTCAAAGTCTGCATCACGACAAAACCCACGCACAGAACCTGAATGGTTCATGATGAGATAGGATGTAAGAAAGCCAACCTGAGCAGTTTGTGCTCAAAAGGGCAAGCCGATTAATGTAAAAGGCTGATTGATCCCTTCCAGCTGTCGCATGTCCGAGCCTTCACTCCGTGTTCCTTGCTTACTGCGATTGGCATCTGTGTTTTTGAGTGTCACACCACGGCAACGGACACCACTCCAATAAATGTACTTGGGCGGCATTTGCCAGTGTACCTCAGCATATGGGAACAAAATCGCACAACTTGCCACAGGCTGCTCGTGCGACGAAGGTCACTTCTTGACCTGCGCTTGATCTCCTATTATCTTCTGAGCTTTCTCCTTGGCCTGCCACCGTCACGCCACACAACACGTTTTAAACTCACCATTTCATGGTGCACTCCACTTTGCTCCGCTACCGAAACATTTCAAGAAGCTTCACGTCGGGAAAACGGCTTCGCTGACAAAGGGTTGCCTGCTTGTTTTTGTCAGGTCTAAACGTTACCAGGTACTGCGCCCAACAGCAGTCTTAGGCTTCCTTTTCCTCACACAGCTCTAGGACTCCAGGAACTCATTGACTATATACCGAGCGAGTCAGACGAAAGGCTCGGAAGACCTCCGGAACGAGATTTCCTCTACAGCGCGGAGCACGTGGCAGTTCCACAGCTTGGAAAATGGCGTTCGTGGCTCAAGTCGCGATCCCACCAGAGTCCCATGCCGGGAGCATCCGCCGAGAAACCCGAATCCCTTGAACTTATTTAGCTTAGCACCATTTTGACCTTGAGAAAGTTGCGCTGCAGTCTCGCCTTGCTAAGCAGGGCATTCCAGAGCCAGGAACAAGCCACGCTAAGCCTCAACTGCAACCCCAAGCTGGAAAAATTGAGTTTTCCAGGGGAAGCTCTTGAAGGCTCGACAGGCCCGACTGGCCCGGACCGCACAGACAAATTCAGGGCGGAAAGCTATTCAACTTCATTTCGAGGCCACGAACCAGTGATCTCGGAGAAGTCTGAGGATGTGCTTGCTGAGCTTATGACTATGTCTGACGCTGTGTCGGGGATCGTCGCATGTGATTGGAAGTTGGTGCAAAGCCACCCGGGAAGCCTCCCGAAATACGAGAGGCGCACGAAGCCTGCGAAGCCTGCTTCCTGTGTAAGCTACCGCAGATGCAGAACAGCTTGACTGCATGCTAGCGGACCTGCCAAAAATGCTGCGCTTGAATTGTAACATCTTGGTAGGCATCTTTGGAGTACCTGGAACATTTCCAGGTAATGCATTTCGAGAATCATGCCATGTCGGTGGAAATGGCAAAATGCAGAAGCGCAGATGCAGATTAACACGCCACAGTCGCTGTTGATAGATGGAGTCGGGCTGCTGCCTTGCCAGAGTCGCAACGCAAAGATTGCATGATGATCAAGCACAACTTCATCGCAAGGCGGCTTGGCCCCCCGCCAGCTTCCCGCTTGTTCGTTTCTCTTCTTTTTGTCACCGAGGCATCCGTCGACACAACTTCCGACCGCCCTGATGCCAAGCAGCAAAAGCACAGCTGAAAACAAGACGCAGTTTCAAGGACTCTACAATTGAGTCGCAGGCTGGACACAACAGTTGAACAAGCTCAGAGGCACGAAGCTGCCGCACTTGGAGTTCTTGTGCGGGAGGCTCTCAGACTCAGCATCCGGTAGTGTGCAGCTCACGTTCATTATCACTGGGTTGGTTGCATGGCTCTCCAGCAGAGATCTTGACCCAAAGCCATGCCGCCATCCGGAAGATCCGAAAAAACCTGGTTTCAGTTGTCCGACAAGACTCACATGACACGGCAGCGCCAAGGATATGGCCAGATGCCAAATGCACCAAGCATGATGCTGCCTGGATCGAACAACTTCTGCATTACAGCAGGGCCCTGAAGTTAAGAAGGCCTGTGTGGTACCGGGCAGCAATCCACAGCGCTTTCCAGGCGGCAACAGGGATGGCTACCTGGCACTTGCCCAATTCAATCACTTTGCTCCCGCATCTGCTCTCGAAAATGATTTGTCGTCCGCATGTTTACACTGCCCATGTCATCATTCGTTCGCTTCCTCTGCTATCCTCCGTCCTTTGGTCTCTAGGAAGCCACTGCAGCAACTGCTCGGGAAACGAGCTTCCCTTGGGGCTGCTCTGGAGCCCTAGCCGTAGCCCTGCCCCCCAACCTTCTCATCATCTTCCTTCTCAGTGAAGTAGAAGATGACAGAGCACCACCTTCAGTCTCAAGTGCATCAAGGCCTACTGGTAAGGTTGTACAACATCGGGTAGGTCACGAGATCACGAACTGCCCCAAAGATGTCCAGATTTCCAGAACCCACATGCCACCGATCAAGTATATCCTTGACAGGTCGATGGCGCACATTTACACAGACCGCGCAGAGTGCAGTGTTAAGCTGCGCACACGATGCCCAGCCACATCCATGGGTCGAAAGAGAAGTGCTTGCTCATGCCTCGTTCGTTCTGGGCTTTTGGGCTCTGGCTCTGCGCTCCGCTGGAGCCTAGTGAAGGGCTCTTGGCCTGCATAGGGCTCTCCCTCCACAATGATTCGATAATCGTCCTGTCTGGACACGACACTTCTCAGCACAGAGTTTGCGTAGATATGTCAACCAACTGCAAGTCGTCCCTCACGAATTTGCGAAGCAAGCGGCAAAAATTCCGACAGAGCATAACGTCATGAAGTTGTAGCACACAACCCACCTGAGATTGCAGCTTCATGCTTGATGCACGCAAGTGACGAGGCGCCGAAAATGTCGACTCACTTCCAAGATCGGCACATCGTGAAAAACTTAGCAATAGCCTCAGGCCAGCGCTTCATGTCACCATCCAGACCCATGCTGAGAAATCGAAAGCATGGATTCTCTGAGGGTGTGACTATGAGAGGCGGAATCCAGAAGAGGGATCGCAGCTTCATCAACGCAGCAAAAGCTGCCTCTGCAATGTGTCAAATGCGACATAGTTACACAGCGCACCCAAGTACCCCCCTCTCGTGTGAGAGTAAGGTCTGCAACATCGAAACTTTGAATTCAAGAATCTCTGATCTCCTGAGCCAATTCTCCTCAGGGATCCCCGACTTTTCTTGAGACGGATGGATCCAAGGAAGCCGCTCCCACACCACAACATGCGATGCACTCCGATCGT